ATTTTTGTATTTTTTCACATAAGGCTAAAAAGATTTTAAGCCTGCAGTCGGATCTGTTTTTAATCTGTTACTAAGAAGCGTAAGTAAAATCATTTTAGGTCAGAATTGCTTACAAAATGAGACCGATTGGTTCAGACAAGTAAAAGTGTGACACTGCACTGAATGTCACTTTAGTGGGTTGATTAATAAATCTATCCATGTTCTTCAAACTTAATATTTATCTCAGAACGATGTTCTGAAAAACATAAAACCCAGTAGTGTCATGAGTACAGTGAACTCTTTTTAAGGTGTCATAACCGTGAGAGTACTTAAAACTACAGAAAAGCTTGTATTCTTATATTCATTCATCAAAACCTCCAGTTTAAAGTGTCAAGTGGCAGCAGCTGGAATGAGCAGTGAAGCTGTTACACTTTCATTCTCTTTTTAAGTGTCACCATAGCAGGGTGTGAATATCAAAAAATGCAAGTCCTTTTAATCTGAAAGTTGGGTTCCACGGTTCAGTTTTAACTTCACTCTAAAAATTAGTGCGTTCAGCTCTGAGAGTTTGCAGGAAGACTTGAAATATTTTGAATACACCCTCTGACGTGTTCCCAGGCTTCCAACTACAGATAAAGTGCAGGCTTGTGTCTGCTTTTATACATATACAGCAGAGGAAATAATTAATATTAATGATCATTTACCAAGAGGCAGCCAAGAAACCTAAATGACTTAAAGTTCCTCCTGAGATGCATGCAAACCTGGTGAGCAGCAAAGGTCTCACCAAGGGTTTCTCCACCACGCACTAAATGATGACTTCCTTGAGAATCAAATATTTATTTCACTCGGTTTAATGTGTTAAACCGAATTTAATTTAATGGACTTTTGGTTGATATTCTGTCTCCTTCCAAAAAGTGAAACTACCAGAAAAAATGAGAAGCTGTAAAAAATGAACGACTGAGTGAACTGGGATCTACGTGCAGAGAAGCCAAAGAAAAAGCAAGATTAAGACCTAAAAAGAAGAAACCAATATATAGTGGGCCAAGGAGCAGCATGGATGAAAGTGATGTTCAGTGCCGAATCACAAATCTGCAGTGTGAAACATTTAAACACAACTACCTGAACAAATTTCCTGGCTAATGGGGTTGCATATCAGGTAAAGCACCGGGCGGCATGACCATCATTAACTCAGCACTATTCACAGGAGCACACTTGCATGTTGGACATTTTTCTCATCTGACAGAAAGTAGGTTTAGTGATAATGAAGCCATTTTTCAGGATCATAATGCATCTTGCTGCAGAGCAAAGAGTATTCAAAAAGGCAGCTAATATCAACTTCGTGCCATGGGCAGCAAACAGTCTGGATCTAAGTCTGACTGAAAATTTATGGTGGAAATTGAAAAAGTAAATTTCCATAGTGAGTATCCATGCTGGAAAGCTGATCTGCCAGCCGCTATTTGGGAAGGCTGGTTGAGAGAGCAGGTTGATACAGAATATTGCTTTTCATTAGTGAAATCCATCCATGCCTCAGAAAAATCAGGCCGTTATGAAAGCCACAGGAGATGCAATAAATTATTAATTTTGGTGTTTTTGTAGATTACGCCATCATTTCCCCTCAACATCGAGTGTTTCCATTT